CCCCAACTTCACAATCCCCCACACCTAAAAAAAACTATTAAAAAACCCAAAAGAAACAACTTCATCAGCCCGATTACAACAAGAACGAATTATGTTGAGAAACAAGAGTAAGCAACATTCCCATGATAGTCCGGAAAATTTAAAATGTTGTCTAAAACTTTTCTCCTTTCACATCTCTCTAACAATGATCTGTCGCCCGCTTTCATCTCCACTTTCTGCTCCCTCCCCCTCCTTTTAGACCCCTTAATTACTCTAGGCTCCTGACTCTTTCTGCAGTTTTTCTACTGTTACTCCTTGGTTCCGTCTTACTGCTGTCTTTCAACCACACCCCTGATTTTCTGGTAGGAAAGATCTAACACCTAGCCTTCTCGGACAAGTGCAAACAACCTGGTGCGCTCACAATAAGATCTTATGCAGTTGCGACCTGCGTAAAACGCTTACAAAAAAAAGCAAACAAAAATAAAACCCACCCAAACAATAGCACTTGAGACAGTACACACACACACACACACACACACACACACACACACACACACACACACACACGAGCGCATCGAATACTGAGGTCTGTAGTGTAGCAGCTAGTTTGATTCTCTCGTGTGGAAAGAAATTTTATCTTAAGGTCGCTTTTAAGCACAAGGGGGCTATCCCGATAAATGCTGTTTTGAGAAAATTGAAGTTAAAGTTTGTGGATCCTTATTCAGTCTCTTTAAAGGACAATGAGAGTTTTCCCTATAACCAAACAAATATACACACCAATGAAACCAAACTTCTCCCATATGTAGGGCAATACCCACTTTTGGTTGGTGTAGGTCAAGATTTCTGGAACCACACGAAATCTGGGTTAGTCCTCTTGTCCTTAAAAGCCACCGTATCTCCGTAATGCTAATGCTTTCTTGTTAGGCAACGTCTGTGTGACTGATAGTCATGTGTTTTTTCTTGTACGCAAAAGACGCCAGTTCGATTCCCTAGGACGCGAAGCTGTTTCGCCAAGTGTCTTCCTTGTGGCGTCGGTTACCTAGTGGTTAGGCTCTCGGACTCGCAACCGTTAGGTCATGGGTTCGAATCCCGTCAGGGGCCCCGACGTTGTGTCCTTGGGAAAGACACTGTGCACAAATTTTCCTCACTTCACCCAGGTGGAAATGGGTACCCAGCTATAGACAGTGAACGATCTTGTCAGTTTGATAGTGTTTGAACGCGTGAAATCCGCAGCTTGCACTGTATGCTTCCGCGGAAGCCAAGAAT